CCAGTTGATTTTTGAACAGACTAAATAGATGAGATACAACATCAGACAGATTTAGAGCTGGTGGTAGGTTGATTTTGTTATAACTGGAGTCAGGCTGACTGTTCATCATCGAGCGCAGTCCTCATGCTAAGCTAAGCTAACTGCCTCCTTGACTGTACAGCTACTGTTGTCACCATTTAGAGACTCATCTTATTTCACTAATCGTACAGCCATCGATTTCTACCCTGGTGTCTTTGTCCTTCCCACCAAAGATGAGCAACGAAAAGCGACGTGTGGCACAGCTGCACCACCTGCCCCTTGTTTTGTTATAACCTACCACTGTGGTTTAAGATCTCTGTCAGGTGAGTAGAACACCATTGATAGGATATAATAACTTACAATTCAATTCACAATGTCGCACACAAAACAGTACCAGAGGCCAGAGGACATGAGGAGGCTGAAATAAGCAACAAATAAGAGGTGAATCTGATTGAGAACTTGTGATGAGGCAGCGACCTGTAAATCAAAGGGTGGCCTCGCTGTAAAACCTGCATTTGTAGGGTTTTGTGTCTTTTTCTTTCTCATGCTCCACTCTCTGCTGTAGGCCTGCCACCCATCAAAGTGGCCTCATTTCGCAATCAAGCTCATCCAACCATCACCCTCCACAGCATGAAGACACCGGTTCTGGAGTCGTTCTTCGCCCGATTCATGCTAACCGTGTGTGGTATTTTGGTATTCTCCTTCCTGTCTGCTTGCCACTGCCTCTCTGGAAGCAGGAACTCTGCGTTCAAGACTTCCTCACCTGCTCAAGCCCACATCTCCTCTGGTTCACAGGCAAAGAAAGAAAGACACTCCCTCTCTCCACCAGCCAGCGCCTGCAATTATCCCCCTTGTCCCCAATAAACCTCTTAACTTTTAGTCGTCTAGCCTCGCTGTCTGATTCTGGGTCCAGCTAAAATACAAACATACCCTGCTTTATCTTCCATTCTCCTCCAAACGGGGCTGTGCTTTACAAAATGGACATCGAGCTGTTTTTAAAAAGCCTTGAAGCACATCCAGAGGGAAATCTAATCTTGTTCTGATAAACTTTTATGCAATCTTCTGGTCGCCATTCGAAGGTTTGTGTTGTCTTTACTTTTCAAACTGTTCCTTTAACACAACGTCCTTGGGTCAGGGGATTTATTATCGACTCTACAGGGCATTTACAGATACACACAAATTACTTGCTTGATTACTTAGCAGCTAATTCCACTCCAGTTCTTTTCCAATGACTCTGCAGCCTTATGGGCAGTCGTGCATCCCGCTGTAACATTACGTAAGTGTTCCAGACAGGGAAAAGAAATATAAAACCGAGTGTATGAACACCACTGGGAGCTATTCTCACTTCTCAACCTGCAGCCTGCGTTAAAGCTTTAATAAGAATGCAAACAACGGCCTCTCTCTGCTTCGAGCCGGTTACATAACTTTAGAGCTTTAGATACTTACACACATTATGCAGGCCGTGAATTCACACGTCCCGGTGCCGATCGTGATGTATTGGATTTTTTCGTCGGATATTCCAGCCTCTTTAAACACGTACGATGCATAGAAGTAGATCTGCAAAAAAAAAAAACCCATAACGGAAGATGTGCAAAATAATCACTGCTTGCCAAGTGTTTTAATACTGATAAGCTGATTAAGCCGGTATTTGTACATAGAGTAATTGTGTTAATACCCCAGTCCCCTCTCTAAAACTGCCAAGCATGTGGTTAGAAGCCTTTTCTGGTGACATGGCATTTTGCAGCTCTGGGAATTTGTCTAGAAATGTTCCTATTTTGGGGCAAAAATGTAAAAATAAATAATAAATAATGATAATGTCCTCTAGTCCACAGTGCACATTTAATACAATGAGCTGTCTTCACTTATTATTCATTGAGCATTATGATGAGAAACGATCCGTCGTCACCATCGTGCATTATTGATGTGACCTGCAGGAACGTGAAGAAACCCCGACATGACAGGAACCGCTGATGGATCGTCTCAAATTTCCAATCATCCTCCCAACTTGGCGGAGGAAAACCGCGGCCAGAACAACATGTGATACTGTTTCTGTACCTCGGGATCAGTTACGCTGATCTGCATGGCTTACATAACAATGTGCCACAGCTAACTGCGCACGACGCACGAACCAAAACATCTCTCGGGTCAACGCTGTTCTTGTCGGTTCTCCTTACCGAGTCGTTGCCGCAGAGCTGCATGGCGCTGCTGATGATCATGACGGAGATGAGCTGCCAGCGCATGGAGCGGTCGGTGAACAGCTCCCAGGGTTGCTTCGGCCTCATGCCTTTGGTTTCGGCCTGTTCCTGCAGGATCTCGTCCAGCTCGCTGCTCTGGACCTCGCAGCCTCGAAGACGCCTCAGAGCTGACCAGGAGAAAACCACATGTTTAACACTCGAGAAGAAACTTATTTCTGAAATATATAGTAGCAGTGGTGGATGGATGAGTAAAGGTCAAAATCCCTAAAAGCACAGATGTAGGAAGTAGAAGAAAAACACACAAAAGCAGCCTCTGTTACTGTTCCATCACCCTTATTACGTTACACTACTAGATTATTTTACCCACCGTTAATACAGGCCTCCTTGTCCCCCCTGTCGATGAGCAGGTACCTGGGACTCTCTGGGAACCACGGCAGGGTCAGGAGCTGAATGAGGCCAGGAACGGCATTACTGGCAAGAAGGTACTGCCAACACGGCTCACTGCCCAAAATCTCTCTTTAAATAAATAATCCAGAGTGTTATTGCGGATAGCTTTTAATTCACAAAACACATTTTTTTATTTTTTTTTCTGTGAAAAGATTAGCCTAGTTTAACGAGTCGCACGGTGAACGTACCTGAGTCCGACCACCTGTCCCAACACAACGCCGAACGCTGTGAAGACGGCCGACGACAAGGAGACGGCTCCTCGTAAGTGCTTTGGTGCGCTTTCCCCAAAATACATGGGCTGCACATTCATGCTGATTCCTGCAATAAATGGCGTAGTGTTAATTCAGTCACATCTTTCTTGAATTGTTATTAATAACTCTTCTACTCTCATGGCTGTATTATCACATGTCAGTATTGTGCATGCACAGTGGATATATAACATGAGAGTATAACTGATGTGGAAAATATTTACTGACATACCAGCATTTATTCCAACCAGGATACGTGAGATGATGATCATCTCGAATGACTTGGCAGCTCTACTTGTCAGTGCCAAGAGTGCACCGCTCATTAGAAAGATGTTGTTCAACAGCAGACAGTTCTTCCTTAATGAGAGAAAAAAAAAACACAATTTGGAGTCAATTAAAGTTAAAGACTTTGTGTTTGTACATGTTTGTTGTGTGTAGATCATGTGCTTGGGCTTAGACAGCACTGAACTGAGCATTTGGTTTCATTATGTGATCTGTTGACAGTCAGAAAAGACAGAATTGTGCCCATGTTATTCTCTAAAGTCCATTTTGGCAAAGCTGAAGCATAAAGCCAAACTGGTACACATGTGGAGATGTTCCACACACAAGGAGTTTGCATGTGTCCCACTACATGAACAATCTCCTCATTCATTTATACATGTGCGTCTCAACGTGTTGATCATTCACTCCCTGCACGTTGCATTGAAACCTTCTTTACATACGAACAGCATCTTATGTTACCTCCCAAAGCGGATGGTCATAGGTCCTGCAATAAGAGCTCCGGCGAACCCCCCCAACGAGAAGATGGAGACAATGATTGTCCAGACCAGCGTCACTTGGTAGTCCTCCAACTGGATGTCCCACCGCTCCAGGAACGTCTCGTTGATGAACGTTTGGATGAACTGCGACAAGACGGTCAACCATTAAAGTTTTACCTCGTTAATGACATGCATACACGTGAGCAGAGTTAGAGCGGACACTCATTACCTCCCGTGTCAGCTGGCCTGTTTACATTTTGGTGGAACTCCAGACTATTAAACATTTCATCCATTGAATCCATCTCTCAACACAGCCTTGATGTTAATTGTGCAATTTTAAATGACCAGAATAAAATATTCATATCTATGGGCAACTGAATTGTTTTGCTGTTGATGAAAGTTGTTGGTGCAGCTGCTCAACCCACCGAGGAGAAATTCTGCATCCGCAATTAGTTTCTACGGCACAATAAAACTGGATGCATTACAATAAGAATTACTGATCACAGAGGCCAGAAAACTAATTTAGTTTGTGCCAAATTGCACTGCGGCCCAAATGTAAAATAACAGAGATGCAGCTCATAACGGCAGAACACTGCTCACATGCAGAGAAGTCAGCGTTAATGTAACACAGTGTCAGCGTCTGTCCATGCTGGTACACGACCCTCATCAGCTCCTTTATATACGGCACAGATGCATATTTGACTGCAGAGTAACAAAACAAAACACACTTACAACTGTGGGAGCGTTCATGATAGCCAGGTTGTAGCCATACTGAAGAGTTCCTCCAATGGCTGCAGAAGCAACCATCAGAACCAAAGTCAGAGGACTGCTCTGTTGGTACAAACACACATAAAGGTCCATCTTCATCAAGACCACAGTGATCACAGAAAGGTTTGGGGTGTCTAAGATATACTAAGATGCATTTTATAACAATATGGCACTTCTAGAAATTGCTTGATTTGGACACAACTGTTCTGTAGGATCAAAGTTATTTCATTTTAACTTCATCTTAGAAAATACAAACAATTAAATCACATTAAAAGTCCTTCAAGTGGCACCACAGCTTACAGAAGCAACACAGTCATGAATAACTACTGTAACTTTTCTGAAAGAATTTCCTTCACAATGCTGCCTGAGTCCTCAATCAAAAAGGAATTACAGGCTAAACATTCCAACAGGTGATTTTGTTGAAAAGCACAATTTGCTGTTTTACCTTTTGGGCATCAGCATGCGACATAGTTAATCGGAGGTGGTGGTAAAAATAAGTGACTTGATGAAGTCCGGCGGGAATGACACACAGAGATAAAAACCCCAACTAACGAACCCGCAATGCGCGAGCCCGCACGAGCACGCGCCTGCAGCGTGCGTTCGGGCCTCTTGTGATTGGCTGGCAGTTGCGCAACGAGCCGCCTTGACGCACCGACGGAAAACGACGGGGTGCCGCCGCCGCAATGATTTACCAAAAGAGAGGCGTCCTGCGCATGTGGAGGTGAAGGTGTGATGAGAATTAATGTGACTTCGCTGCCCTCAGTGAGTAATTAAGAGCGATGACGCATGCGCAGTGAGGTGAGTGAAGTCTGAACCGCAGAGGAAGGATGTTCACGTGCAGACAGGTGTGGTGGAGGTCAGTTCACGATCACAGTTTAAAGACACTCAGGTGAAAGTCTTGCATTAAAAAATAAATAAAATAAAATATGTATAAACAGCAAAATACTGAAAGTGTAAAATAAATTAGAGCCTTAATGGGTTATTTCAGTGTTTCATTTTGTATGTTATACTATTAGATTATTAAAGCTGACTTTTACATTCTGTCAGGGGGATTAATTTACTGCATAACATCGAATTTAATCATGTTTATATTGTTCATCGTAGTTTTTAAAGTCCTAATTTGCTGTAAAACACCTGCAGCTGTCAGATAACTGCACTGGAGTAAAAAGTGATGTAGTTCCCTCTAAAACATTGTGGCCTCTATGCATGAAATAGCATAAAAGATGAATAAGATACTCAATTAAAGCACAAATACCTTAGCATTGTATTCAAGTAGCGCTCTTGGCTAGATTTCCATTCCAGTCCAAACCTCTTCTCAGACTTGTCAAATTATGTCAAAACCTTTAGATAAATGTGAAAAATGAGTGATCGGAGTCAACACTGCTGGGATTTTAAAAATGTTTTACAACTGATTGGAGCTATTTTCTTCCACTTTGGCACCAATTACCCTCAATATGAATACTTTTCACCCCTAACTAACAGATTTTGAAAAGACATCTTTCAATATCTTAAGTATTAAAGAATCATCTTGCAAATCAGATATTTTCTTGTAAATGTGATATTTCTCTTATGATTTTAATCCTTTCACAAACATAACAATGATGGGGTTTATGCAGTTTTCTTTAGCAAAAGCAATGATCTCATATTTCATATGTTTTAGTTCATATTTGACTATTTTAAATAAATGCAATAAAAATACTGTTCTTAAAAATACAGACAATATAGAAATATTACACCCCTCACTGACCCCAACAACAACCCTCTGTGTGTTCGACCTGTACTGCCACACTAGAGTAAAAATAATAATAATATGACTGTACATTTATTGTGTATTATTGTTAAGACACTCAAAGTTGCTTAACAGGGTACAAGATAAAAACAGGACAGAGTTCCTGGGCCCAGGACGTCTGTGTTAGTTTTAATCTGATAAAACTCCACAAGACAGTGCTACAAAATGGGATAATAAATCAAACTACCTAAAGTTAAAAGTCTAATTTCTATTGTTACAGTTTTAAAAAAAAAGCTAAATTTAGCCAACTGTGCTCCAGAAGTTTAACAGGTGACAACTTCTCTTGAGTTCGTTCCCACTCTGGTCATGGTGTAACTTAAAAGGAAAGTGATCAGAGAGCTGCACACAGACACTCCTTTGAAAAGTCCACCTTAAAATTCAGCTTTATCAAAATGACTCGATGCTACAGATGAAAACAGAAAGACGAGAACTGGCCGCTGGATGCTGGGATGTTAGTTATGGTTGTAGCCAGACACCTGAACACGACTCCACCATTGGTTGTCTAAGAAATCATTTCAGACAGCACATAACGTTCTGGACGGACGCGTCCCACATCGTGATCTTGTCCACCAGCCTCTCCGAGGCCTTCAGGAGGAGCAGGACAACGTTGGACATGCAGCCTCATTAACTGTATGCGTCAGAGATGTGTGACTCATTGCTGGTTTGTAATGTCTGCTCTATGACTCCTCTCTCCATCTGACCGTGATCGTTTCCAGTATAGTGGGTGCTTGATTGTTTCGTGACGTCTATTCTGCTGTGCTGGAACAATAAATACTTATTCCCGTTGTGCTAAAATGGTTGGATCGAATTTAAAACAATATTATGATCCGTGTTCATCAGTTTGTTCAGTACATTTTATCCAAAATAAACATTTCTCTGGCTGTGGATTGTAATAACTTCACAAACGTAGCGTTAACATGCTTCATGCAGGTTTGTCTCATGTGAAAGCAGCTATCTCAAATTCTTTATGTGCCTGTGGTTTCTGTTTTCATCCAAGTTTGAGTCCTTTTTAAAGAATAAATAAACGCATTAAACACTGTTCTTTAGGTTCAGGCAACATAGAATATGTGGCCCCATCAGCTTGTTGTTATTTTACTAAAACTGTACAGAACAGGGCTACAGGATTAGAAGAATTCACACCTTTGTTGATACATAATTCACAGCTATATGAGTTGATGCTGTACTTTTGTGATGCTAAAACATGTCCCTGTTTAACAAAACGTCCCCTCTGCTCTGTTACTGAGTTGTATGTCCTCATATATTACCTTTTTAAAACCCACATTTAAATATAGTTTAAATATTATTGTAGTTACTTGACAAACGTACTGTGTCCAGCAGATGGAGCTGGTTTGAAGTGTTGCTGCTGCTCTTTGTTTGCTTTGTAGGAGAAGTTTCCCACTGATCACAGCGAGACACTGAGCTGCAGCTAAGGCAGAAATGGTCAAATAATAGAAGCTGGTGTGTGCACATGTTCACATTTTTACAGAAGCTCAAATATCATTAATCAGTCGGCAGTTTCATTTTGAGCTTCAGGTGATGAAGTTAGTTGTTGTTGCACCAGCTGATCGATCACTTGCAGGAGAAGAAGTTGTGAAGACGTTCAGCTGAATTTATCTCAGGAGAACCTCTCTTAGACGAGGCAGCTGATAAAAGAAGGCTCGGAGCAACACGTTCAGATGATCTGTTTCTATTTTAAAAGCTCTGTGTTGAGGAACACATCGTTTTCTTTCCTCGAAAGCTTTTCTCAGCTTTCATGGACCTGATAAAATGCACGTTGGCACTGCTGACGAAAGGTCAAGGAGTCACTAACAACATTAGAAACTATCCTTTGGAGTTTGTTTTTCTTCCTTTTTTAAACATCCACCACATATTTCGTGGGACTGAAGCCAGTAGCTGAAAGGATATTTTGGTCTGTTGGACAGATGAAGGAACAGACGGACCAGAGAAGCTACGGTAAAGCCAAGAAAAACAAGAAAACTTTTACTCATTTTAAAGCCCAGTGATATAAAATTATTTTTCAAGAGAATAAACAAAGTCAGGTTTATTTATAAAGACTAAAAAGCATATTTTTGTCTGTATATTCCACTGTTGTTGATAAAATAAAGGCAAAGTGTGGAAAAAATCCAAACAAATTCAGCTTCCAAGCAGCGATATTTATATTTAAATGCATTAGATTTTGCTCTATGTTTAGAGAAGACTTATGTATATATTTTAAATTTGATTTAAAGCATGTGTTGCAGGATGGCCTTACAAATGGACAAAAGGTGCAGCACGGTTCTATGGAGTAGTGAGAGTGCCAAATCACACAATAAATCAATAAAAGAATAAGAAAAAATAAAGTGGAAATAAAAAGAAGAAGAAATACAACAAAAAATAAATATTGTGGCAATATAAAGCAATATTAATCAAAATGAATCCATAAAAGCAAAGGCTAGCAAAAGTAGAGATATAAAGACAAATAAATAAAATAATAATAAAAAATAATGTATTTATTTATTTTTATGTTTTTAATTTTTAAATTTTTTTTCATTTCTTATTTATTAATTTATATTTTTTAATAATGTTGCTTTAAAAGCAAAGGCACAATGACATGCCTACTGCACACATTTTTCTGCACATATTTCCTTTGCTTTTTTTAAAGGAAAAAAAAGCGCTTTAAAAGCAAAAAAATAAATGAAATAAAAATGAAAGAATTAAAAAAAAATTAAAAATAATTTATTTTTATGTTTTTAATTTTTAAATTTTTTTTCATTTCTTATTTATTAATTTACATTTTTTAATAATGTTGCTTTAAAAGCAAAGGCACAATGACATTCCTACTGCACACATTTTTCTGCACATATTTCCTTTGCTTTTTTTTAAAGAAAAAAAAGCGCTTTCAAAGCAAAAAAATTAATGAAATAAAAATGAAAGAAATTTAAAAAAAAATAAATTAAAATACTTAAAATAATAACTTAAAAATAACAAATCAAATTTAAAAAATAAAAATGATTAAAAAGTAAATAATGTTTATGTTTATTTTATTATTTTATTTATTTGTCTTTATATTTCTACTTTTATTATTATTATTTTCTTTTATGGATTCATTTTTGATTAATATTGCTTTATATTACCACATTATTCATTTTTTAAAATCTTAGTTAATCTTCTTTTTATTTCCACTTTTACTTTATTATTTATTCAATGATTTATTTTTGTAATTTGGCACTCTCACTACTCCATACTTCCCTTCATATTAAATGGAATCACAGTAAAAAAAAAAATGTAATAGCAAATTGGGTTAAGATGCAGCACATGAATACGATCAAAACAAACAACAAAAAAAAGTGTGATATCGAGGTCACGGGGAGAGGACACCCCCTCCTCCCTGCTGCCAGCTCTAATTGGTCAGCTCTGACAGGATTACACGAGTTTCCTCAATTGAACACACTGAAGTTAAACGCTCGGATCATCCACGAGAGGAGAAACTCGACTGCAGCAGCCACTTTTTTTTTTTGTTGCTTTTCTTCTTTCTTCACACGACTTCACCTACAAACTGTCACCAGCCGACAGATCTGCTCAGTGGTCGCAGGATTGAACTGTTTGTTGAAGCTCTCCTCCTCCTCTGCTGCTGCTGATATGTGGCTCCTCAACACGCCCGCGTTTCGCTGAAGCTGCTCGTTAAGTTCATGTAGCTTCAG